ATGGATCCTTAGATAATGACAGACTTTCTTTTGCTTGCTCTGAGAATTTTCACTGGCAGCGGAATCCAGTTTTATTTCACAAATCCCAAACTTAGCCATTATGATAATCAACAATTATTATTATTAAGTCCTAACCAATGTTTTACACTAGTGATATGCGTGTATATTTGCCTAAGATAAAATATAGCTTCAAATGTGTTCTGATAAAAAGTGAAGCTACACAGTATGTGCAAAGAATAATTGGTACATTAAATGTCACATGAGGTAGAATAAGACCAGATGTGACAGTTTGGATTGTTTTGTCTCCTTGAAATATAATGCTGAAATAGTCACAATGATTTATTCAGTAAGGGCTTCCTGTGATCTAAAGAACTGTGATATTGAGCCAAGTTACTAACATGCCTGCTTGATCTGTACATGTAAATTGTTTTGGCTTTCACTGCAACAACATGTCCAACTATTTCTGGAAAATATATGTGGGTGATCATTGGATGAGAAGGCTATGATGAGTGAATAGCTTCAATAGCTTGACAATATTCATTGTCTTGCCTTAACCATGAAAAATAAATAATATCGGCATTTGATATAGAACTGTTATGTTGTGATAGCTTAAAGTGGTTCACATGTGTTACTTGAAAGCATAGTAACTGTTACTACATAGCCAAATGTCGTAGCTAATCCACGCTAACAAAAACAGCCTAAATACAGCAATGAGATGAATAGCCAATTAATCTGTTTTCCAGTAAAAATTAGATGCAGAATTTGGGCAAGGTTCCAAAGAGCAACCAGCAACAACAAACCCATAAGCAAAGATAGAAAAACACACTTTAAGACATCTTAGTCATCTTAATAATAATTAGAATCCTTGCATTTCACCCCCAGAAAGCAATCTGCCAATTGATTAATCTGTCTGAATGAACAAAATTAATAAAAAATATAAATAATTGTTACACTGGCTCTACTGGGTTTTACAATTTTCTACTGGGCTTTTATTTTATCACTGAACTTTAGTGCTTGCTATTTGAATGCCTGTGCTGTTTTTAAATCTTACAACATGTAATCCTTTTTTAAATTTAGCAAAACAGGATTGTGGAAGTGCTGAAATTAAGTCTAGGTCACAATCACCCCTGTTATAATGATCAAAAGAGGAGCTAAAGGATTACAGTATATAAACACCCATGGAATAGCAATTAACTCAGGACTCATTGATCTCTGACACAAATTACTACTGCAAGATCAACAAAACAGTACCCAGGGGATTTTAGGCATGAAACGCATTCCATAAAATAGGATCTCAAGGACTCGAGGATTGAGTCACCCTGGAATATCACTGAAAAGGGGCCATCATGGATTTGCATATGCTAATGACAATACAGTCACACAAGTACAAAGTCATGTTCAGGCTATTAATTTTTATGCTTAAAGGATAATTTTGGCCAACAAAATAACCTGTATTATGCAGCATAATTATATTTTATTCTGATTGGACTCAGTATCAAGTGATGGTGCCAATTGATCTGGAAGAAAATCAGAATGAACCACATTATCCTCTGGAGAAAATAGACTACATCAGCAGCTCCATTTTCAGCCACAATGCACACAAGCAATGCCACAGAGAGAAGCACACATTCACATTTCTTCACGCTACAGCGCACTGCCACATAATGTGATATCCATCTGGATTGTAATCTCTCTTGTCAGATGCCTCAACAAAGGGGAATAACAGAAGTAGTTTATACAAAATCCTCATTTAGTCTACATTTTTGCTATATAAACCAAGTTTGAGCTGTTAATTCCCAACTGATTCAGGACTCATCACTATTATTTGCATGTAATCTCACTTCTTTAAATCCATAGAAATACAATTGTTAATACCCATGTATGGTATTTAAGCATCTTTTAAAATTTATCTTGGATAATCATGGCTTCATAAATGAAAGGCAGATGAAGATTGATAAGCCTGGGTGGGGGGTAGCAAAATGGAGTATTTAATAAATCTGAGTGGCATTTTTTCTCAGATAAGATAGTTTATTCAACTATTTAAGAGTTGAGTGTCACCGCTTCATCCACAATGGTCAGGGAGCAATGCCTATTTCACAATCCAGATCTGCAGGATTAGGTTAAATGTGACTGAAGTCTAAATGTATCCTCTGTGGTACCAGGGTTTCTTCCAAACCCAGATGCCTATTAATTCTTATTAATAAATTGTTTTTGTAATAATATTATTGCATTTCTTTTCCATGATGCATAATAAATACATCCCAGGCATGCTTTGTAAGGTGAATGTGGGCAACATTATTGTTAATATAACATAAAATGTTTGTAGTGTGTACTCCCTTGCAGGGAATTGGGTGAAATTTGATCAGACATTATCTTTCCTCTTGGCTTAAAAAAAATAGTTCTTTCATGTCAGAGAATGTCTCAAAGTGTTACACAGGATATTTTGTGACGATGTATTTTGTAGGAAAATGCTGCAACTAATTTGCAGGTAGTCAGTTTCCACAAACACGTTAAGTCCTGTAGCTCAGTGGTTAGAGCACTCGCTTTGCAAGTGAGAGACCTGAGTTCAATTCCAAGCAGGGCGAAACCTTGGGCAAGTTTCCTTACTCCACACAGAGCCTAATAATAATCCCTCCAAAACCAAAACCAATAATAAATTGGTCATTTTCAGTCTACGACTGTTTGTGGAACATTGCTGTGCGCAATTGGCTGCCGCGTTCGCCCACAAATATACAGTCAATTCACTTTACAGTGTGTTCTGTGAAGCGCTTTGGGACGTCCTCCCGACGTGAAAAGCGCTATATTAAATGCAAGGATTATTATTATTAAGTCAATTATCAATTTTATTGGGGGTGGGGATTATCAGCAAGGACACTGAGGCTCCTTTCTTTTTTCCAATAGTGTCATGAGACCTTTAACGTGCGAAGTCGAGAAGACTATGGAAATTTATAGTAAAGAAGAATGCAGCTCTTTTTCCTTTCAGTCACATTTACCTGCGCTTTCCCCGTACCCTTGTAGCTTATTCATAGTTTAACGTCTCATCCAAAGAATGGCACCTCTGACAACATAGCACACATATACAGCAAAAATACTACACACTGGGCCTGGGTGACACAATAGCTCACAACCGTTAATGACATTTTTGATGGTAACTGTTTTTTCAGGGAAACATCAACTGGAGCCAGTAAAAAGTAATGGGATCGTGAGAAACGGTTTCCTAACAATCCTCACACACTACAGAGTTAATCTTCATTTCCTCCATCAGACTGATCACAACTATGCCCACTGATGTTTAGCAGTTTATTTATGCTCCATCTCCTGCAATAGCAAAGTGCAACAATCTATTATTTCCACCTCCTCTCCTAAAGGGAGAATCGTTTAACGTGATACCACTGGCTATCATGCTGCACATCAAGTGAGAGAGCACATTCTAACCTACTCATTATTACAATAAGCAACCTAATCTGTTTGTGCTGGTAGCTTTTGTTATGCATTGTACTAATACATAACCTAACCTATTTGTGCTAGTAAGTTAGATTATATTTTGCAAGGCTTTTTGTGTGCATGTATAGCCCAGAGGAATTGAAACCAGTGGCAACCCAATGCCCTGGACGTGGCCAATTTGGCTTCACCAAATGCCTTATCGTCTTTCTGCACATGTGCAGTTATTGTGGAAACCAGACCAGTGACCGTGTCCCATTACAGCCCTGGTTAGGATTTTATGGATCTGAACAACTACATTATAACAGGGCTCCACTGTATAATTCAACAGTGTTCACCCTGAGAGCTCACACCATTATTCATATGTGAGTCTTGACACTAAATTTTCACAGACTAATCCTTTGTAGGAAGCATCACAGTCAAACCTGATTCTATCCTCACTGAACATCTAACAGAGAGCATTGTTGTCACACTGGACAGTGATCAGGACCTGAAAACCTAGATGATGTTTTTTCTCCCTAACTTGGTTGCTGAAGCAAACTGCAGTGCATCAAATATTCGAGATGAGAGAGATAAGCTGACTTCACACAAACCAGGAATGAGACCTGGGGCCTACCTGTTTCATATGTCTCAGCTAGTCACTATGGTCTGAAATGCTGTACACTATCCAGCGCCTTGGGATGTCTTCCCGACGCGAAAGGCACTATACAAATGTAATCTTGTTGTTTTAGATAAACTTGCTGATCTATTGGATAAACTTGCTCACATTTCTAAGTCCTGAGCAATTCAGGTAGACAAGGCTATAAGAAGGCCAACTGGATCTTGAGCTTTATATCCAGAGGGATAGAGTTAAAAAAAAATGAGAATGCAATGTTGAACTTGCATTCAACCTTGATTAGACTACAACAACGATAAAACAGCATTGAAAAGAGTACTGCGAAAGTTTACTGAGATGATACCAGGACTGGCAGGTTACTACTATCAGGATAGACTGGAGAGGTTTCACCTTTTTTCACTAGAAAACAGACATTTGAGGGGACTTAATACAGGTATTTAAAATTATAAACGAGTTTGATAAGGTTAACAACAAATAGGCTATTACCAGTTGTTGGAGCTCCAGGGGACACAGGTATAAAATAGTTACTAGGATTTAAAAGTGAATTTACCCAGGGGTCATGAGAATGTGGAACTCGCTGCCCAAAGTGCTGGTTGAAGCAGATAGTATAAATGCATTTAAGAGAAAGCTAGATATACAGGTGAGGGAGAAGGAAATAGAAGGGCATGGAAGGGAATAAGGAGCACGTGGAAACTCATGTGGAGTATAAATACTGGCACGGATTAGCTGAGCTGAATGGCCTGTTTCGTCTTGTAGTCTATGTAAATCTATGCAATTCTTAGATTTCAATGTAACAACCTCAAAAATTTAAGCTAGTATTTCCATGTGAGATTATTGTTATGTCGACTGATCAAACAGAACAACTCAGAATAGTGCATGTAAAAACAATGACTTACAGAGACTCAAAGCAATGGAAATTGAATATGAAAAGCGTAGCACTCACTTTTAAATCTCCTTGTGTTACCAGTAGAAACTGGTTCAAAGACCAAAAAGAAAGAAATTGGAAGGCTTTCGTCATCAGCCAATATGACGAAGCCTGGACTGTAACGAGGCAATGAGTCATTGTTGGCAATAAAATGTGTGGCACTGCAAGCTTACAGACCACTCCAGTGCTCGAACCTACAACACAGAATACAGATTTCACTGTTAAGAATACAAGATGGTATGGAATAAACAAACATTCAGAAATGTCATACAGCACATTCCATAGACCCTGTACAATTTACACGACTACTGAATCTACCACACTTATTTAATATTCTTAAAGAAAACTTGCCTAAACACTGCCTGATTTCCAAAAATGATCAAGTGAACGTCCAGAAAATCCCCCAACAACAACTTGTATTTATATAGCGCCCCTCACAACAGAGTAGCATCCCAGAGTGCTTGACAATGGGGGAGCACAATGCTGAGCCGAGAGGAGGTGACAGTAGGGACAGTCAAAGTAGAAGGTCTTCAGGCACAATCTGAAGATGGAGAAGGAAGGGGCAAGGCAGAGGGCCACTTTTCAACTCTGCTAGCTCCTTCTTTTGGAACCTGCCTTTTAACGACAGGTTCCTAAGTAACTCCCAAGTTTCACCCAATTTATTGTATGTGTGTGTGTGTGTGTGTGGGGGGGGGGGGGGGGATGTTGTCTCATGTTTTCCTTTGATGTTCTCCCATTTTTTGAAAGAAAATGATTAGCACCCCCACCAAAAAAATATTTATTTTGTGACTATCAATTAATTTACCTATAAATTTTAATTCTGTTCTTAGTAGGATACTCATTTAGTTTTTTTAAAAAAGAGAAATAATATTTAACCAGTCAACTGTTCTGCAGTTCCACATGATATCTAATTGAGATTTTGAAGTTTTGAAATGATAATACAATTTTACTGAACTAGGGCCCAAAAGATTGATATTTCCTAAACTCATTTACTATTCAATGTCATACATTGAATTGGCTGAGAGGAGGCTTTTAATAATAATAATCCTTGCATTTGCTACAGCACCTTATCACTAGGCTCTGTGAGTCCAGCAGCCCTATCTTTGCCTGGCTCCACTGGCTCCCCATCTCCCAGTGGATCGAGTTCAAAATCCTTGTCCATGTTTACCTAGCACCAAGTAGGAACCCGGTTGTTAGTCGATTGGCCTACATTACCTCTGTGACTTCCTCAATCCCTACAAACAAACCTGGCTTGCTTACAACATTAACGATCGGGCTTTCAGCGAATCTGCCTGCCCCCGCTCTCTGGAACTCCATCCTGGAATCCCCTCAACTAACCCCTTCAATGTCTGCTTCAAGACCTTCCTCTTTCACTATGCTTTTAGCCAGCTTTCAGTCGGTGGAGTCCTGCAGCTTAGTGGTTAGAGCGCTCGCCTCGCAAGCGAGAGACCTAGGTTAGAATCCCGGCAGGAAGAAACGTTGGGCAAGTTTCCTTACTCCACACGCCTCTGTTTACCTAGCATCAAGTAGGAACCCGGTTGTCAGTCGATTGGCGGATCGCTTTTCCGGGGGTAATAATTCTTTTCTTAAAAAAGAATAATAAATTGGTCACTCAATCCACGACTGTTTGTGGGACACTGCTGTGTTCAATTGGCTGTCACGTTTCGCCTACAAAATATACAGTCAATTCACTTTACAATATATTCTGTGAAGCGCTTTGAGACAAATTGAAGATGTGATAAGGCACTATATCAAATGCAAGGATTATTATTATCTTTTCCCTCTTCACCCCCACCCATGGATGACTGAAGACATGATCAAAGAGGAACACCTTGAAGCAGAAGAAAGTCTTGAGACGAGTAGCAAAGTTCCATAGTGTATGAGGGAATTGTGAAGGTTTTATGGGGACCTGGGTTAAACTCAGTGTTCCACCCATAGATAATTTATCATTATAAAATGTCTAAAAATATATAAGATTAATATAGAACTATAGTGTTGCAATTCATCTCTATATTCTTAATATGCCTGGTTTGTTACATTTATATTTTTTGTGCAATCGCCAGCTGTTTAGTTACTACATGCCCTTTAATGCATGCTAGAAATCACAAAAGCGGGTTTTGCAACACTGATAAATGGATCTGAAGTATAATTTTATTGCAAGCAGTTTACCTGGAATTTACCTACTTGACATATTATACCACATTACATGCTTAATAACTGATCGAGCGGTCCAAGTAATTCAGTAAAAAGTACTGAATCCAGATTGTCATGATGTACAATCATGTCTCATTTTAAATAACATGACATTCAGTCTGTGTTACTATATAATCTGGTGCAGAAAACCAAAGGCAGAAGGTGTTACAACAATCAAAGATTTCGGAAATTAACCCTGAGCATTGCAGATGAGTTCACTTATCCCAGTCCTGTTGACTAACTACGGCCAGGTTGGCGACTCCAGACACATTAGTAATTGGCCCGGTTGTATCTATAATGCGATTTTGTTAATCAAAAGGCCTGGACCTTTGATTAGTGTGAAATTGGCCGTCAACCAAAACAAAATTTAAAAAGAAACTTGTTCCTACCTCCATTTGAGGGTGGGAACTCGAAGAAATCTAAAAGATTACAGGGGAGAAAATCCACGAGGTATAGATGTACTGTATTTATAGAACATTTGAGAGTGTCCAGAAATGGCAAATTATTGAATTCAGTCTTAACTTTGAAGCTGGGTTTCTGGCGTTCTTAGAAGATCTTACAGAAAATGAACTTCAAAGTAGAAGCTGTATTTAAGAATTTGTCAAATTCTGCATGATTGAAATACTACATAATTTGGAGTAAATCTAGATCAAGGTGGAATTTCTCACTCTACACTTAAAACGATTAAACTACATTGTGTACGATTAAACTAAATTGTGGAGTCCTGTAGCTCAGTGGTTAGAGCACTCGCTTTGCAAGTGAGAGACCTGAGTTCAATTCCAGGCAGAGGGCGAAACCTTGGGCAAGTTTCCTTACTCCACACAGAGCCTAATAATAATCTCTCCAAAACCCAAAACAATAATAAATTGGTCATTTTCAATCGACGACTGTTTGTGGGACATTGCTGTGCGCAATTGGCTGCCGCGTTCACCCACAAAATATACAGTCAATTCACTTTACAGTGTGTTCTGTGAAGCGCTTTGGTTCGTCCTCCTGACGTGAAAAGCGCTATATCAAATGCAAGGATTATTATTATTATTATTTTTGTGAAAAAAAAGTTACAAGAGATATTATGAAACAGATCAGGTAGGGAAAGGCTAATATATAAAAAAAAGTTGAAACAGGAGCCAAAAACAAAAGGGAAGCAAAAATAGTTGAAAAAAACAAAAGGAACACAAGAATTTTTTTTATATTTATATTTTAAAATATGCTTTGTACATTTATTTTAGTGGATTAGACTTATCACAGTAATGGAAGTTACTTCTGATGTTTGAGTGGCACAGTGGTATATTGTAATACTATGATTTTTTTTCTGAATTGCAAAGTGCTAACAAAAATGATACAGAACTGCTTTGTTTTGGAGAAAAATTTCTCCTTACCTGTTAACAGTCAAGGGTTTAAATCATATTTATAATTGATATAAATACGACCTATTAGTGCCTCTTCCTTCTGCATGTCCCTTGTCCCCTCCACCATCAGTTGCTGTGCTTTCAGCCACTATGTCCATAAACTCTGGAACTCTCTACCTCAATCCCTCCTCCTGTCCCATGCTTACCCGTTTTCAGATCGCACCTGAAGACCTTCCTCTTCGACTGTGCCTACTGTCACCTCCCCTCTCTCTCCCTGGCTTTGCATCAAGCTCTGCCTTTGTTTAGTGCTCTGAGTCACTAGCCCGCATGAAGGATGCTAAATAAATGCAAGTTGTTGTTTGTTTCTTCTCCTCTGCCCTCCTCAAGAATATTCTGAACAGGCAGCATTAACTTGCTTGGCTGCAGTAATTTAAGGCATGGAAAATAATTGTTTTGTAAACCTCTGTAAAATAATATACTCATTACTTCTTCTGGAAAAAATATTCAAAGTCATTTTAATTAGACCTGCAAATAGGAGAAAAAAAATCTGATGTGCAAATGGAAACTTTAAATCTATTTTTTCTTCTGACATACAGTGCATCACCATCTGGTTCATGTGCAAATAAGTATACCTCAGTTGGCAGCACTCTCACCTCTGAGTTATAAGGTTATGGGCTCAAGCCTCACTTGGCACTTGGAACTCATGGTCTACGCTGACCCTCCAGTGAAGTGATGGGAATGGGCTACTATGGGCCAAGGAACGTTCTCCCGATGTGAAAGGCACTATACAAATGTAATTTTGTATTATACTTTCTCTGAAGTGCTGTCCTTTGAATGAGACGTTATATTGAGGTTCCATCTGTCTGTTCAGGTAATGTTAAAGATCTCATGGCACTTTTCAAAATTAGAAGGGAATATCTTCCGGTGTCCTGACCAACAATCCCCAAATAAAATTGGTTATTCACTTCATATGGTTGTTTGTGGGACACTGATGTGTGCTAAATGGCCGTCATGTTCGCTTACAAAATACACAATTACTACACTTTGCAGTAAAACCCTGTGAAAATATTTGAGATAGTTCCATGATGTGATAAGGTATCATATCAAATGCAATTAACGAATTAATCAATTAATTAGCTGGCTTTCATTACATCCAGGTTTGACTACACTAACCCCCTGCTCGCCAGGCTTCCCAACCCTTCCCTCCACATACATCAGGTTATTCAGAACTCTGCAGCTCGTGTCTTCTCACGCACTAAGTTTGTGCGCCGATCAACAACAACAACTTGGATTTATATAGTGCCCTCCACGCCACGACCTCCACTCAGAGCGCTTCACAATAACGGGGCCAAGCCAGGGGGAGAGGGAAGAAGATGACCAAAGGCGTGGTCAAAAAGAAAGATCTTTAGCCGAAACCTGAAAGTAGGAAGAGAGGGGACGAGGTGAAGGAAGTGAGGAAGGGAGTTCCAGAGCATCAGGGCGTAGTGGCTGAAGGCACGGCCACCGATGGTGGATCAGAGGATTCGGGGGGACAATGATGAGGCCAGACCTGGTGGAGCAAAGGCAACGGGCACTGTTGTGAGGAGAGAGGTCAGAGAGGTAGAGCGGGTGTAGAGGAGTGGAAGAATTTGAAGACAAGAGTGAGAGTCTTGAAATCGATCCTCTCTGGGACAGGCAGCCAGTGCAGTCTGGCAAGGACTGGGATAATTGAGGAGCAGAGTTTGGTGCGGGTAAGAATGCGGCCAGCAGAATTCTGGATGACCTGGATTTTACGAATAATATAATAATAATAATAATCCTTGCATTTGTTATAGCGCTTTTCACGTCGGGAGGACGTCCCAAAGCGCTTCACAGAACACACTGTAAAGTGAATTGACTGTATATTTGTGGGTGAACGCGGCAGCCAATTGTGCACAGCAATGTCCCACAAACAGCCGTAGATTGAAAATGACCAATTTTTATTATTGGTTTTGGTTTTGGAGGGTGGTGGAGGGGAGACCGGCGAGGAGAGCATTTGAATAGTCCAGCCAAGAGGTGACAAAGGCATGGATCAGGGTTTCAGCGGCTTTTGGGGTGAGATATTGGCAAAGACGGGCGATGCGTCGGAGGTGGAAGAAAGCAGTGCTGGTGAGGGACCGGATATGGGGAGGAAGGATAATTGGGGGTCAAACCTGATCACCCCCAATCCTTGCCCAGTTTCACTGGCTCCCCACCACCAAGAGGATTGAGTTCAAGATCCTTGTTCTCATCTTTAAAGCCTTCCATGGACTTGCTCTGCAACCCATTAAAACTTCACCAACCTGTTCGCTCCTTCCACTTTGCAGGCACTGGCCTGCTCCATGTCACTAGCACTGCCTGTTCCACCATCGGTGGTCGGGTCTTCAGCCTTACCTACTCCCTCAAAAATGCAGGGGCCTGAAGCAAGCCAGAGCCTGCTGAGCGGAGAGAGTAGACAGGTTGATAAGGGGTAGCAGGTTGGAGAGGTAGGTGGGGGCAAGACCATGGAGGACCTTGAAGGTGAAGACGAGAATTTGAACTCGATCATCTAAGAGATGGGGAGCCAGTGAAGCCGGGCAAGAGTGGGCATAATCGGGTCACAGAGCCTGAAGCGGGAAAGCACACAAGCTGCAGAGTTCTGAATGATCTGCAGCTTGTGGAGGGAAAAGTTGAGAAGGCCAACAAGGAGGGAGTTTCCGTAGTTGAGTCTTTAGGTGCCGAATGCTTGTATGAGGTTTCGCTGGCCTGAGTGGTATGGCAGTGGTGGAGTCCAGCCATGTTGAGGAGGTGGGTAAGGCAGAGCAGGTCATGGAATGGATGTGGGGGAGAAAGGACAGTTGAGGATCCAACAAGACGCCCAGGTTCCTGACTGGCTTGGCGAGGTGGAGTGTGCAGCCATGGATGCTGATGCTGCCAGTGCCTGAGGTGCAGAGGCACTGGTGTGAGCCTATCAGGAGAGCCTCGGTTTTGTTGACGTTCAATGGTAGAAAGTTGGCTCTCATCCAGAACGTTATGTCTGTCAGGACAGCAATGGTCGTGGATTCGAGGGTGGAGGCAGAGAGATAGAGTTGGGCGTCATCCGTGTACACGTGGAGGTTGACTCATGTCTGCGGATGATGTTGCCAAGAGGGAGCATGTAGAGGGTGAAGAGAAAAGCACCGGTGACAGAGCCCTGAGGAACACCGCCCGAGACAGTGCAGGGCTGGAGGAGAAGCCATTGGTGGAGACAAATTTGAGCCGGTGTGAGAGATAGGATTGGAACTATTCAAAGACAGAAGCTATATGGATTTACACTACGGAAACAGGCCGTTCGCCCAACTAGTCCTTGCTGGTGTTAATGTCCATTATTCCCCATTACACCCCTCTATTACCTACTCCCTCAAAAATGCATAAGTATCCTCTAATACACTGAATTTTTTATATGTTAATATAAATAATTAATTTATATATTTTTGTTGTATCAATGTTTTAACATGGATAGATTTAAATAATATGTAACTGCTCATGCAGGTAGCTGTAACTTTGCCTGATTACCAAGAGGTTAGAAAAGAAGTATAGGATTCTTGAAGATAGGGCACTGAGGGGGAGGGGAGCAATAACCAGGGAAAGGGAAATGAATGGCTGTCGGAGGAGAGGATTTCATGAACCAAAGGGTCTTTTCTCATATTTTCTTATGACAGTATTATAGGTGTATCCCCGATATCCTGCAGATTTCATGATAACAAGGTTTGCATTTGCACATTGTTACATTGACAAAATGTCAGTACGTTTCACAGGGTTTACTATTGAGTGCAGTGACTGTATTGTGTAGGCAAATGCAGCAGCCAATTTGCGTACAGCAATGTCCCACTAACATCCATGAAGTGAATGACCAATTTTATCTTGGGAACTCTTGGCAGGATACCAAGAGAAACTAACTCCCTTTTCTTTTTAAGTAGTGCCACAGGATCTCTATTGTTCACAGGAACAGGCAGATGGAATCTAATGTCTCATCCGAAGGACAGTAGCTCTGACGATCTAGCGGCACCCCCAGCATTGCACTAGAGTGTCAGCTGAAACTATCAGCTCAAAGACTCAATATGAGGTTAAATCATAAAGTGCTACTAACTGAGCCAGGCTGGTCCCTCCCACCCCCATGAGAGTACAAAGGTTCCATCTCACACATGATTGCTTCTTGTGATTTCTCATGCCTATACTAATTATAAGAACACACAAAATAGGAGGAGGAGTAGGCCATTTGGCCCCTCGAGCCTGCCCCGCCATTTAATAAGATCATGGCTGATCTTCTAACCTAATTCCATTTACCCACCCTTTCCCCATATCCCTTAATCCCTTTAGTTTTTAAAAATCTATCGATCTCAGTCTTGAATATGTTCAATCCACAGCCTTCTGGATATATATAATTATAGTATTATAAATATAAATATAATTAAAGTATCTGACACTTAATTGCATGGAATTGAAATATCTCAATGCATATTTTAACAATACAATCTTTTCCAATCGTTTTGAAGCCCCTATTGATAAACATGTGCCCCTATGTTTTTACATTCTTGCTGAAAGAGCAACCAGTTTAGTTATCTGAAAGATGGCGATAGATATTCGAGAAATTCTCAGAAAGCAGAGCTTAACATGATCTCGAGTATTATCTTCAAGATGTTCCTCCTTCCATTGCAAGGATAAGTTACACAAGGTTAAAAATAAAACTAATTTCAAGCATATTTCATTGTGTAAAACTCATGAAGCACAGATACACTGATTCAAGGGCTCATGCTCGCATGCAGTGAAAGTAACTTAACAGGAATGTCTTACTTGCAGGAAAGAAATTCCTTATATAAAATGTTATATCCTTCAGCTTCTACTTTTTTTGGTGCACCTTCCTAGGAAAATGTTACTGGCAACAGTAAAGGATTTCTTAACTGAAGAAGCCTTGAGTTTGAAGTTTTGAAATACATTTAGCTGAAAAAAACACTTACAATACATATTCTATATTTTAAGACAATGGATGCTAAAGCATACATTCATTGCTAAAATTACAATCCACTATGTCTTGATAATGAGATCCGCAGCTGAAAAAAANCACTATTTTTAGAATTAAATTGCCACAAAAATACTTTTGGTGTCCCAAGACCTCATCATCTATCCCAAATTTATTTACTGACCTTCACGCTGATTTTGTTCCAAGTTCAACCAGGTCAGTATCGCACAAAGAGGGCGAAAAAGCTCCAGGAAAAGGCCAGCTGTCTTGCTTCTCACTCCGTCTCCAATGCTCTCAGGATCACAAAAACATCTGTCCTTCAACCCTGATCCCAAGGCATGGCAGAAAACTAAAACAAATGTTCAAATCATTAAACTATCATGCAATGGCAGCTTGCGTTTTATCTTCCTTTTTGGTACTTTTTATAGTTTTAGCTTTTTCTTTTAATATTTACTATAATTACTTATAATACATTTCGCAACAATTTCTTTTAATTACTTACAAATGATCCAAATTAAAAATGAAATTAAAGAAAATGTTGAAGTCTTACGTGGAATGGACAATACAATGGAGTTCAGTTCATGGGAAAAAAGTTTCTATTTTGAATTAGTCGGCTCAAACAAACTCTTTTATAGAGCTAGAGTAAAAAACAACAGCCATTAAAATATCGTGTTATATATAGCTCTATAGGCTGGAGTATTACAAGAGTTTGCTGAACTCATATCAGACTTCCAAATGATTGGATGATGTATTGCTGCCCTCTACTGACCAAATCCTTTTATGTTTTTGTTTACATACCTTGATCCCAATGAATGAGGGCAACCCTTGAGAGCATGTGGAGACAAAGATCCTTTATGACTGGCTCGCAATCCCCTGGTAGTAATCCTGAAAGAATGAATAGACAGCAATGAAATATTTTAAAAGTAGAATAATTCTCAAAATATATCACATGAATTGCTTGCCTCGAACTGTGAGAAAATCGCGCAAACAATGCCGAGCAATTTTGCTTATTTGACTGTTATTAATTTCATCTTTCGCTAAGATTATGTTTCACTTCTTCCTGCTCCCCCATGCTAAACATGATTACCATCTCCTCAGATGGTAAATGGGCCTCTGCGATTCTTGAGCCAGCCGCTAGATTATATGAAAACTGGCTCAACCTCTTGATTTTCCCTTCCTCTTTGAAAAACGTCTTAGTCTTATGGAAGTTATGTCCGAGCTGCCTACCAAGAATAGAAATCTAGGACTTTGATAATAACTGTAATAACTGTAACTGTAGTTTCCATGCAAATATCAAATATCATGGCAATTTATTAAAGTTCAGAAATAATAATAATAATAATCCTTGCATTTGATATAGCGCTTTTCACGTCGGGAGGACGTCCCAAAGCGCTTCACAGAACACACTGTAAAGTGAATTGACTGTATATTTGTGGGCGAACGCGGCAGCCAATTGCGCACAGCAATGTCCCACAAACAGTCGTAGATTGAAAATGACCAATTTATTATTGTTTTTGGTTTTGGAGGGATTATTATTAGGTGTGTGGAGTAAGGAAACTTGCCCAAGGTCTCGCCCTCTGCCTGGAATTGAACTCAGGTCTCTCGCTTGCAAAGCGAGTGCTCTAACCACTGAGCTACAGGACTCCACTAGTACATTGATTGAATATTTAAACCTGACACAACACAGGCAACCAATATATATGTGAGCAATATATTAAGATTTTGTGGCTCTTAACATAATAATAAATAATATTTGCATTTGATATATGGCACTTTTCACGTTTTCCAGATGTCTCAAAGCGCTTCACAGAATATACTATAAAGTGAATTGATTGTAAATAGTACATTGATTGAATATTTAAACCTGACACAACACAGGCAACCAATATATATGTGAGCAATATATTAAGATTTTGTGGCTCTTAACATAATAATAAATAATATTTGCATTTGATATATGGCACTTTTCACGTTTTCCAGACGTCTCAAAGCGCTTCACAGAATATACTATAAAGTGAATTGATTGTATATATGTGGGCGAAACGCGGCAGCCAAAGATCTTCCTCCTTTGAGAAAAGAATCTTCCATGTATCACTGGATTTGAGCTAAATCCGTGGATCAATCTGGGGGTCAGGTGTTCAGCATTGTACTCATGACCCATGCCACGTTGATACTCGTACTATAATAATATAATAATCCTTGCATTTGATTGAGGGCCTTAACAGGTCTCAAAATGCTTCATGAGGATATACGGTAAAGTGGCATGACTGTATGTATTTTGTGGGTGAACGTATAGATGGGATGCATGGATCACTTAGTTTAGCTTCAATACTCTTAAATAGCTGACCAAAACAAAAGCCTAGAATATATTTGTTTCTGAGCATCACTTGATGTAACATATTTAGACCACGCGGTGGTGCTACAGCATCAAACTGCAGCCATTAAATTATTAACTTTTCGTGTACTGTGTTCTCCTAAATGGAAATCTAGAGGTTATTTTGTTAATGTTATAATTCAGTATTTTTGATTACCTCCAAAATATAACACCCAAGATACAGAATATTTTGCAGAAACAAAATCAATTTCAATAGTTATTTTACAGAACACAAAAGCAAGCAGTATGAATTTAATTATTTTAGTTAATGGAGAATATCTGGCATAGACTACCAAGAGTGTCAATGGAGGTAAAATGAGACAGGGAAGTAGATAGCTATTTGGCAAATAAATCAATTAAAGGATATGAGAAGTACAGTATAGGGTTATATATTTTTTCAAAACTTTTGAGGCCCACTCGACATACCCATAGGTCTTTTCCAGTTTTGTACATTCCTACATTTCTATGATACATCACTGGAATTGATTTTCCTACTCTATTCTTTTGCAATCCACATATCAATGAGTTAACTAAAACAACAAAAATAATCACCAGCTAAGCCTACTAGATCAACTTGTTGTGTGTGTGTGTGTGTAGGGGGGAGGGGGTAGGAAGGGTTAGCCAGGTGTCTGACACATGCACAAACCTATCACCATGCTTAAGAGCACCCAAACCAAACTGAGAATTTCATGCAAAAAAAATACGAAATACTGCAGATGCTGCAAATCTGAAAACAAAAACAGAAGTGTTCCCAGCGACTTCTGTTTTTGTTTTGAGAATTCCATGCATCCCACCTACACATGGAAATTCCAGATAGATTGTAGGAGTGGAATGTGCATTCTCTCCCTGGAGGGATGCATCCTGCTTACCTAATTCCAGTAAGTATTACTCAGGTTGGCAAGAGTCAGGGCTTGGGGGCCCAAGTGTGCATTGGGGTTCTGCTGCAGTCTAACTAACTAGAATCACACAACCTCAACTGCAGTATTCTTACTTGTCTAAGAGTTTGTATGCAGGATGTAATCCTGGCACAACACTCATATCAGAAGTATGCTAAATCAAAGCTCTACCCTGGACATTAGATAATGATAATAATAATAATCCTTGCATTTAATATGGTGCCTCAGATAAAATTGGTCATTCACTTCATGGCTATTTGTGGGACATTGCTGTGCACAAATTGGCTGTCACATTCACCTACAAATACACAGTCATTACAGTAATTCCTGTAAATCGCTTTGAGACACCTTAACAACATGACAAGGCACTCTATCAAATACAAGGATTATTATGATCATGTCGACAAACATCTCAAAGCACTTCACAGGATTTGAACAGAATGACCAATTTTTCTGGGAGGATTGTTTTGCAGGACATCAGAAAAAACCTCATTCTCTTTTCAAATAGTGCTATGGGATCTTCAAATATCACCTGAGCAGGCAGACAAAACCAATGTTCAATGTCTCATCCAAACAGGTGGCACCTCTGGCAATGCAGCACATCCCTGGTACTGCACTGGTTTTGCAACATGGACTATGACAATCTTCTGACTCAGAAGTGAGAGTGGTACTAACTGAGCCAAGCTGATATCTGGCAATTTAATATAGAATATTGTACTTTATGAAGATGAGGTAAGGATTGCCTCAAATACAAATGTGAGGATTATTTTATTATTTTATAAACACTTCATTTCCATTTTATGAATATAATGAATATTTACCATTCAGTTCATGTCTGTTTGTGGGATGCTGCTGTGTGCAAATTGACCTTTTGCCCTCAAAATACAGTCACTACACTTCAAAGTATATCATGTAAAGCACTTTTGAGATGTCTTCCCAAAAAATATTATTCTATAAAAACTATCACACTAGACATATTGTGAAAATACATGGCCTACTCACATACCTTTATAACATGCTTCATGCAATACTTGAGTAAGTAGTACAGTGATCTGAGCTTTGCACTGGTCTATATTTCCAATGGCATTGTTACAAGGGTCATAAGAAAGCCATGGCTGTAAGTAGAACTGATCTCTCAAATGGGTTCCAAATGCTTTCCACATCATATTCCTATAGTTTGAAAGCAGCAGAGCTTTTCCTTCAGAATTTGAGGAGTCCTGCCAGTGGACAGATTTTCTCCTGATTGGGGATAAATGAGGGTTTGGATTTATTTCGTCATTTTGCTTTGTTTCTGAGCCTCGTTGAGGGTAGTTTTCTGCTAAAGGCATTACGTTGCCCTGTATCTGCAGGCCACCAGATTTACTTTCCTGCAGTTGATCAGGTTTGGGTCGGTTTAGAACAAGCTGCCAAAGCATGTTAGAGGTAATAAGACCCTCAAAAATATAGTTCATGAGTTCCTTGTCCTCCAAGCAGAATTCCTGGATGGAGTTTATTGAGCTACAAGGTCCCAATGCCAGTTGACCAGCCCCCAGTTTTGGTCGACATAGACTTATTTTTATTTCTTTACCACAAAAAAAATTAAGGTCGTCACCCATATCTGTCTGAAGAAAAGGCACATTTATATTTTCCCATTCTAGGCTGTTCAAACCATTTTGGTTTGCGGTTGAAAGAAATGTATTATTTGTACTGATAACTTCATAAAAATGTTGGGCTGCTATTCTTCCTCGTTCATCAGCCAAAATCCTCAACACTCTATCTATAAGAAATGGTTCAATATGCCAGTTCCCATTCCGCCTACACATGTTTACTTTCAGGCTTTGGGAGAGTAAATCCGATTCATTTACATTCATTTCTTCAACATGGTTTTGCAGTTTAAGATATGAGTGGTCTATTTTGAACTCTGATACAATGTTGTTGAATATTTCCAGACCATGAAAAAATTCCCAGAGGGATTTTGAGGACATACTAGATGGCTGGGAGCAAGCTAAAGTACAAATTATTGTGCAAATATATTGTTCCATAAGAAAAACAGCATACAAGCTTAATAATGTCAAAGTCTTGTTCATATATTGAAGGTTTTCTTTCATATACAAAAGTTGAGGACTTAGCCAGGGGTCGTTTCTAATTTTTTCACCAAGGCATTTCCAGTGGTTTGTATGGCATTTTAGCTCCTCGCAAAGACCTCCAAGTCCCTTAACAGATGTGACACTTATATCATCCAGTTCTATTTTTGACATTTCATGCTCTTGGTGCATCAGCAAACCAGTCAGTCTTCGTACAAATTCAGATGCATCCATTAAACGGCTGGCATACACTTTATTGAGAACGAGACGAGATCTGGTCTCCATTAGTAAATGAAGCTTGGCGTAATGCTTTCCCAAATTAGAAATGGATGGATGGTAATGAAACTCAGAGATAAAAGGAACATCTGAGGATAATGATTTCACATGACCCTGAAGCAAAGCACCTTTTAAACCTCGTTGTAGTTGACAACATTTATTCAGGCCTAAGATAAACTGCTCCACATTAGCCAGTTTTCCTGAGATGGAGATGCCATCTGGATCTGAAGATAACAATGAATCATCACTATCCACTTCTGAAAAACCACCTTCTGCTCGTTGCTTCATTAGCCATTTCCATCCAGGTTGAAGTCTATTCCACAGTAGAGCTTCAGCCTTCTGCAACGACTTTGTAAAACTGTATGGTGGCCCTGAACCTGGAAATAAAGAGTATAATACACACATTAACACAGGTAACATTCAGACATTTGTGATAGAATTGTATTGTGTATACTGGATACGGAAAGAAATTCTATGAAGCGAAGCACCTTTAACAATGTGAGTTAACAGGTTGAATGTCCAGTGATGCACTCTGTCTAGGGCGCAAAATTTAAAGGCATGAGGAACAGTTATCTTATGGTCATTTTAGAGCCCTACGATAATGTAATACATTAATTATAAAAGATTACAGATTTGTATTCAAATAAATATTTCTCCTAATAAGTCAGCTTATGTATATATTTGGATGATGTAACATCAGTTTGGCTCAATTGCTGCCATTCTTGCCACCAAGTCACAAAGTTGTGGGTTCAAGTTTAATCTTTCATCTCGTGTTGTAAAAGTTCAAGGTCCAGCTAGATCTTAATTTTTCAATCAAGAAAATCTTAAATTCTGGTTAATTGATGCCTGAATTGGAAAGTTGGTGGAAATTAACCTGATGCATCTGTGGAACTGACACGAGAATCAGGAACATATAGTTATAACGGTCAAAATAAAACTGAAGGCTCATTTACAAATGCAGGTCATTTTAATATGTTGATGATGTATTTAGGAATAATTTAGCACTTTTTAAAGTTTGTTAAGTTAAAGATTTACCTTCAAGAAATCATCCACATATCTCACTGCTCTGTGCTTCATAACAATTAAAAGTAACAAACCCACCTGGCCCATTTAAATGATCAGGTTTTTCTTTTTGCACAGTTTCATCTGGTGATATGCTTGTCAATGACAAGGGGCTTAATGATCTCATCTGGGGTTTGATGTCTTCTGTATCATCTGGTGGTGTGATAACTGCTACATCATCCTGAAATAAATAAAGCTAAGATCAAAGACGTGATAAGGTACTATAGCAAATGCAAGAATTATTATTATTAAGTAACCAAAAAAAAGGACCCAATACTTCTTTTTTATTAGTACTTTTCCTCCTTGTCAAAAAGGTAAACTGGGTTTCTTTAGTTCTGCACTGGCCCCAAGGTGACATGCTTGGCAATAAAATATTGTAAACATCGTATCTGTAACTAAAATGGGTCAAATAAAATATTTTTAAAAATAGACTTACGTTATCTTCAGTTGATGGGATCATTTGCAATTCAAGAGCCTTTGGAGAAGATGACTCTCGCTTATCTGAAAAATAAAATTATATCAACTACAGCCATATGCATACTACACATGTTCCAAGTTCCCCACCATTGGAGATCATAATAGGATTCCTGTTAACCAACTGATAGAGAGTCCCTGTGAGGGACTCACTGTATGAGATATGGAGAAATGTTCTTATGCTGCACAGAAATTGGCTGCTAAATTCACCCACAAAATACACACTTTACAGAAAATCCTGTGAAGCACTTTGAGATATCCTTCCAACATGAAAGATGCTGTATCAAATGGAAGCGTTATCACTATTCGGATTATGCAATCTGGTGTAGGAAACGATAAAGGTAACTACTTCCAGGAAGCCTGACATATGCAGATTTTATTTCTGCTGTGATCAAAAACTGCATCATTAATGCTAGATTTAGTGGGCCAGTCATTATAGATATTAGCTTGCTGCAATAGACCTAATTTCTCTGAGGCAGTATTATGATTCTGAATTTTTCTTCTTTTGAGAAAATGGACATAGATCCAAAATGAAATATCAATCACTGGAATTTCTGGGTATCAGAAAGTAACTTATGATCTTTTCCAATACTATTTGTGACAAATGAGGTCTGAGTTGACGAAGCAACTACAATTGGAGTAAGAGTCCTTCATTCTGGAAGTTCTAATAGTTCTATGAAAGGATTGCTAATGTAATTCTCTTGTGTAGTATCCTTTATAAATAAGGCTGCTCCCTGAGGAGAAAATTTCTCTCAGGCCCAAACCAAACACAGTATAACTTTCAGGCACTGTTGAAGCCTTCAATAACAAAATTATTTTTTTTCACGTCGGGAGCTCTTCAAGCAATTTATTGTTTCAGAGACTGTTAAAGCCTTCAAGCAATTTATTTTTTAATCCACCTGATCTCCAAATGAACCTTTCCCTGAAAGGATAGTTTAAGACGTTTAAACTGTGATTCCGATTGACCTACTCTGTGTAAGCCATGTCCAGGGCCATCTGTATAGGAGGATGGCTTGAGGTCATGTCTCTCTCTAGAACATAAAGAATAGCAGAATATGCCATTTGACTCAGTGATCTTTTTCAAAATTTTATTAAGATTAAGGTGAATATTTTATTCCCTGCATTTTCTCCATAACTAGATGTCAACCTGGCTCAGTTGGTTGTACTCTCTCTCGCCTCTGGGTTACAAGATTGTGGATTTCAAACCCCACATTTGACACTTTGACTTAATAATCCAGGCTGACACTCCTTTGCGGTTCCGGGGGAGGTACAATTAGTCATTCCCTTGTCTGTGGAAATTGCTGTCCACAAATTTGCTGTCACATCTTCTTAAAACTAGTCACTACACTTTATCGAAACTTTGCAGAGCACTCAATGTTATAGGCGCTATACTGAATGCAAGAATATTTATTATTATAAATACTCTCACTTCCTATCACATTTTACATTCTGGGGTTTACATTTCTTACTCTACTTTAGGTTAAAAGATGAAGGGTTAACAGAGCTTTGTAGCCCTAGGCCTCACAAAATGTTAAAAGGGCAATATCTAAACAAGCTGCAAACTGCTTTCTGCCAAACAAACAAACAAGATCAAGATGGAAAGCGACATTTGACTGGTAAAATTGAACAGCTGCCATTTTCCATCATTAGAAAATTGTAATGTACTAATTTTATTTGAGGGAGAGATGGAGGGAAAAGAAGGGTGTAACAGGCCAACTGTGAAAACATTAGTGATAATGGTATTTACTGGTATTAATGATAATGATAATCCTTGCATTTGATACAGCGCTTTTCACGTCGGGAGGACGTCCCAAAGCGCTTCACAGAACACACTGTAAAGTGAATTGACTGTATATTTGTGGGCGAACGCGGCAGCCAATTGCGCACAGCAATGTCCCACAAACAGTCGTAGATTGAAAATTTTTATTATTGTTTTTGGTTTTGGAGGTATTATTATTAGGCTCTGTGTGGAGTAAGGAAACTTGCCCAAGGTTTCGCCCTCTGCCTGGAATTGAACTCAGTCTCTCTCTTGCAAAGCGAGTGCTCTAACCACTGAGCTACAGGACTCCGATTGTCGGATTCTAAATATTTATACGAATTCTGGTTGGGCTGAATGGCTGGTACCAATGCCGAATCAGAGCAGGGGGAGGAAGAGCGCGAGCCCTGTCCATGTAAAATTACAGTGAGATCAGGGCCTGGAGAAAAAACTGTACAATGTCACAGCTCTTGGGTTCAAAAAAAATTCTCTTTTCAGTTTTATTTTTAGTTTTGCACCCTTCTTCTCACTGTCTTATTTATAATTATTGGTGACAGCATTGAGAGAGGATAACATATATTCTCACACCCCATTCATAAATCTGACGCACTTCTTCAGTATCTATCATCTTCATTTTAAACATGGAGCTGCAGTAATCAATACTGACTTTGTATTGTAACCTTTATTTTTGCTTCAACCCAAATGGATTTTTGCCTATTGGAGAAATGTTCTGATTAATTTCTGTCCTTATGATTTACAACCACAAGACATCTGAGACAAGGATCATTTGTTTATTGGCTGTGGTGAAGGACTAGCTACACTGAATGTTGTGCTTGAAGGCTACTGTATTCAATTTCTGTAGGATAGCTGAGCTCCAAAGTGCTCCACATAGAGTGGTAGGACACTTGCTTTTGCCCAATACTATCTGCAAGCAAGCTCTAATATGTCATTATCAGAATACAGTTAGTGCATGCCAAACATTTCTCCACAGGGAAAAGGTAGTTCTTTTTCCCTCTTTGAGACTGCCTAATATTTTGTTCCCTGTTTTGTAAGGAGACTCAACCCAGCTGATTCCAATGAAAATTTTCAATCTCACAGCGCTCCAGTCTTTCTACACCAAATTAATTAAAACAACTTCTATTTGTGTTTATTTATAAAAAACAGCATTCCTATTTACTTCAATTAAGGTGTTTTAACCACAGAATGTCGGTCAATAAAGAAAACTTTGTATTCAGCTCCTTACCTGATTCTAGGAGATCCTCCACTTCTCTGTCCTCCATTTCAGCTGGAGATACCCTTTTCTGTCCCACTAGCGTGCTCAAAGGAAACAACATCCCACCAGACGCCTGCGACATCTGCCAATTGTGAAGTTGAAGCCAAAATGCAGCCCTGAACTTTCTTTGTCAGCTTCCTGCAACATAAAAACATACTCAGTCAATAATTATTTCTCAATAAACCTACAGTACTGGCTAATTTGTAATACACTTGTATCAATGTCATTACATATTAAAGACAAGCATGTAATAAAATCATTTTGTGCCCATAAAAAAATGAAGAAAATTACTTTTTTTTAAAAAGTGTGGTAACAAATATTGAGGCAGGAAACTGAATGATAAAGTAAATTAGCACACTCTTCTTACCTCTGGCAAATGGACTAGTTCAGAATAAAATGAAAGAAAAGCATCCACTGGGCAGAACTGGATACTTCAACTAGATATCAAAAATACAAATGTTTTACATTGCAACAACAATTTGCATTTAATAGTGCCTTCACGTAGAGGAACATCTTGGATTACTGTGGCTCAGTGGTTAGAGCACTCGCTTTGCAAGTGAGAGACCTGGGCTTGAGTCCCGGCAGGTGAAACCTTGAGCAAATTTCCTTACTCCACACCCCTGATAATAATCCCTCAAGAAAAAAAACAATAGTCACTTCAATCCATGACTGTTTGTGGGACACTGCTGTGCGCAAATGGCTGCCGTATTTCACCCACACATATACAGTCAATTCACTTTACAGTCTTTTCTGTGAAGCGCTTTGAGACGTCTAGAAGACGTGAAAAGCCTTATATCAAATGCAAGGATTATTATTATTATTTAGTGCTCAAGAACATGTTTAGACATCGATGGGGGCAGAGGAAGATGGGGGAAGCAATAGAAGACATGTTTAAAGAGGTTGGATTTAAGGCAGGACAGAAAAGTGGCAAGGCAGCATAGGGAGGGAGTTCCAAATGTTTGGGTCATAGGAATTGAAGGCTTGGCCAACAATAATAGTGCGGAGATGGAGGACCCACAGCAAGCCCACGTTACCTGAGTGGAGAGAAGTAGGGTAGAAGGAGATCAAAGCAATAAGGAGCAAATAAGCAGGGAGTGAAACAGATTTGTAGGTGAAGGTGAGGACCTTGAAATTGAGAATCACTTGCCTTTAAGTACAAACATTAACAAAAAAATTCTAACATGCAACAAATTTAATCCAATAGGATATCCATATAAATTTCAGCAGACTGTAGAATATTCATCATTGTCTTGCCACTGCTAATGTGTAAATTGAAAAATCTTTGCTCTGGGAGAAAATGATGAATCTTATGAATAGTCTCTTATTTGGCAATGCAACAAAGATTGAGAACATAAAAATAAAATAATAATCCTTGCATTTGATATAGTGCTTTTCACGTCTTCTAGTCCTCTCAAAGCGCTTCACAGTATATACTGTAAAGTGAATTGACTGTATATTTGTTGGCGAAACACTTGAGTAACCAAATTATTATTGTTATTTTTGAGGGATTATTAGCAGGCATGTGAAGCAAGGAAACTTGCCCGAGGTTTCACCCTGGATGAAAGAGTTTATTGCTCTTTAAGATCAAATTATTAGATAAATAGGGGATATAATAACCCACAGATATCCATAAAACTTTAATCAGAATCTATATAGGGTATCTTGATTACATGTAAATTGAATGCTTTCAGGTAATTTAGTCAAACAATTATAATTTCAAGGATATGTTTGTGTAATTCTAATATGCTTTGGAAGAAGAAATAAGTGTAAATTAATATTTTTTTAATAATGAGTCAGACTGCCAGAATATCCAAATACAATCTCTTAAATTGTTTAAATTATTTAAGATCTCCAAGATGCTATCTGCAGGAAGGGCAACTATTGTTGTTGTTATTGTGAAATTGCATTGTCATTCAATGTATGCAACCAAGAAGTCTCCTGCATCATGTTGCCAAGAACAAACAATAGTACTTGAGTCATCAAGTCACCAAAGTTGCTTGCAGTTTCATTGTTGTGCTTATACTGCTTCCTCCTGCTCGCTGTTACGCTGCAGTACTAAATGCATGTTTGGAGGTAGAAGGCTGACAAAGTTGAGGAGATGGATACATTTTGAACCAAAACACTTGAACCCCAAAGTTCACTCTCCTCTCTGTGTAGCACGATTAATCTGGAATATCTCACCTTCCAGGAAATACTGAGGAGACGACAGATAGATTACCCAGAGCTGCATAGTCATATCATCAGTCTAGATATGTGTCTAAATTTCAGATAAGGTAAATAGTAAATTGCATATCATAATACTGGCAATTAATTATTTTCACTAACTGAAATTTTACCTTTTTGTTATTGAGCGTTGTTTCCTCTCAGACTATTTATTCCTGCCATGATGCATCACTAACCTGTAAATCAGTAGTATACTTAAGACTGCCTATTAATAGACTTAATCGGATTCTTCATCCTACAGTTTGACCAGAATTTGCATGGCATTACCTACTTAAAATTGTTTACAACTGTAACCTACAGTTAATTACAGTGGAAACTAATAAGATCACATAAGATGCAAGTCGAAACTGTGATCTAAAAAGTAAAAAGTTATCAGACATCCTCAAATATGCTCCATCAAATCGTGTGCGGATAAAATTCAACATTTTAAGAGAAAATAAAAGTAAGAGAATTCCAAGTACAAAGCACTCCATTATATTTAATGTACTTACATAAACATACTTCACTTTCTACAGTAGTGCATTTCCCCTCCCATGGAGACCTGTAATTTCAGGTTTCTTTTCATCTGTGATTGATACAAGTTGTGATGATTGTACACAATTTTTATTAATTCATAAAGCACCAGGTGCCCAATCTGAAGGTATCTAAAATGGTCATATTAGATACCTATCACCAAATACAGCATGTAGCTGCACGCAGTAAAAGCAAAGTGAATGAAGCAAGACCGCTTTGAGTAAATAAGAGCAGAAAATGTAATGTAGAATTCCAACTTTGAACTGCATTAGCTGGGTCTGAAAAGTGTCTGTGCCATATGCAGTCCTCCAATAACTTAAAGATTTGCAATTCCAGTCCAGGCCGTGGGTGGAGTCCTGTAGCGTATTGGTTAGAGCGCTCGGCTCGCGAGTGAGAGGACCCAGGTTCGATCCCTGGGCAGGGCGAAACCTTAGGCAAGTCTCCTTACTCGACAGTAAGGCTGTTAGTTGATTGGCGGATCTCTTTCATGGGGCTAACAATCCCTCCAAAAAATAAATAAATAAAATAAGAAGAATTTGGTCACTCAATCCGCGACTGTTTGTGGGACACCGCTGAGCGCAATTAGCTGCCGCGTTTTGCCCACAAAGTACACAGTCACCGCACTTTACAATATATTCTGAGAAGCGTTTTGAGATGCCTCGACAGCGTGATAAAGTGGCGTCGCCACACGCAAGGATTATTGTTGTTACCAAAAATCCGGCAAACCAACAAGCGTTGGGGCATCCTCCCGACGTGAAAGGCGCTGTATCAAATGCAAGGGTTATTATTATTATTATTATTATAAGCTGTTTAACATCAATGTGGCTCAGGGCTATAGGGGAAACGTGGGGGGGGGGGGGGGATATGATCAGTGTGGCTCAGTCGGGGTGGGTGGGTGGGGGGCAGCTTCATCGGTGTGTAGGTGCAAATCAGTCCCATTTGGACTGGTGAAGGTCCCAGGCGGTTGCATTTACTCAGTTGAACTTATTTCGATAAACCGTGGCCAGATACCCAAAATGTCGACTGTTTGTAACCAGGGTAAGGAAGGACGCAGCCGCGCCCCCCCCCCTCCCTCCCTCCCTCCCACTGTCGGTGGCACACGGCGGATCTGGAGAGCGAGAGGGGGAGAGGAGGAAATGGGAGGGAGAGTTATAAAGAGCCAATAATATAATAGTAAAACAGCAAAGGGTCTTTATGTTTCACACACACACACACACACGCGCGCGCGCGCGGAGGGAGACGGCAGGAGGCAGGGCTGGTGGTGGTTGCTAAGCGCCGCTGTACAAGGCCCAGAGCCGGGAAACAGGGGCTTATCATTACTTCAAACGCACCCTCCCCTTCCTCCCACATTTATTCACTCACTCACTCACTCACCTCCTCCTCCTCCTCTCCCCCCCCCTCCCGGGTCGGTCGGTCGGTATCGCTGTGTCGGTGGCCGCTCGGCTTCTCGGAAACAACGGCCGACGGACTCCAACCGCCGGCCTCGCGCCGCGACCGTTGGCGACGGCAGGAAGCGCGCGCGCCGCGCGCGCGCGCCGAGACCAGCAACGCGTCCTCCCATTGGTCGCCGGCCCCATAGCAACCGGGCGCCCGCGTCGCTAAGAGCGGCCGCCATTGAGCTCTTGGGCGGCCCACAGCCTCCTGAGGGGGGGGGGAGGCGCTTGTACCAACATGTTAAGGATTAATCAACAACAACAAAACAAAACAAATGACACAACGGCAAAATACTGCTGCTGCTGGAACTCTGACCTAAAAACAGGAGTCTCGCTGGGAACACGCAGCAGGTCAGGCAGCATCTATGGAGAGGCCAAACGAGAACGTGTCAGGTCGATGATGATAATAATAATCCTTGCATTTGTGATTGATGAGCTGAAAATGCTGACGAACGATCATAGACCTGAAACATTAACTCACTTTCCTCCGCACGGATGCCGCCAGACCTGCTGAGTGTTCCCGGCCACTTGCGTTTCTACAACAAATTACATTGCACATCGGGCGGAGGCACTGGACAGTCAGGGACTTGGACCCGAGCGGGGAGTTGGGATCAGGAGGGGTGGAAGATAGGGGAAAGAGGGTGACCGAAGGCACCTACAATTCAATAACAATGATCCTTGAATTTGATATAGCATCTTAAATCTTTGAAACATCTCAAAGCACTTCACAGAATATACTGTAAAGTGAATTGACTGTATTGGGGGTGAAACGCGGCAGCCAATTGTGTACAATAGTGTCCCACAAACAGTCGTGGATTGAGCGACCAATTATTTTTTGAGGGGTTATTATCCCGAAAAAGTGATCCGCCAGTCTATTAACAACCGAGTTCCTACTTACTGCTAGGTAAACAGGCGTGTGGAGTAATAAAACTTGCCCAACGTTTCACCTGCCCAGGAATCAAATCCAGGTCTTATCGCTTGCAAGGAGAGTGCTCTAGTCACTGAGCTACAGGACTCCAGGGATGAGGGTTTTGAAGTCTGTAATGCTGCAGAACTGTGAATCTGGCCACATAGTGAGTCAATATCATCCTTACAATATTTAGACCTCACATGTATAAAATCCATTACCACCATCACAAGTAATCATGATTTGCTGTATCACATACAGAAGCAGAATATTGCTCAACACACCACTTAAGCATTTAAAAAATACATGGGCAAAATGTATATGAGCAGTTGATTCTAGAACCAACAATCTTCTAATGACATTGTAGGACAATGTACAAAATTTGTAAGGTTGTAGCTTGAGGGATCAAGGGTATGGTTCAAAATGACCTTAACCCTGAGGTATATTTTTACTTCAGAACACTTAGCCTGGATTTTCATTCTGTGTGTAAGTACATAAATTTCTGGGCTTTCCTTTTTGACTTGTTTCACCCACAATATTATTATAAAATGTAGTAAATTCACTTTACCACATTTTGGGAAGCAAGGATTATTATTATTACTCATCTTTCATGAGCAGTGTGGCTCTCACTTTCAACACCATCCATGGCCTTGCCCCCTCCTACCTCTCTGACCTGCTGACTCCCTACCAACCTGCCCACTCCCTCCGTTCAGCGGGCTCTGGCCTGCTCCATGTCTCCCGCCCAACCCATCCTACCATCGGTGGCCGGGCTTTCAGCCTCTCTGCCCCCACACTCTGGAACTCCATCCCACGGTCCTTTCGCCTCGCTTCCTTTCTTGCCTCCTTCAAGGCCGGTCTCAAGACCCTTCTCTTCGATCGTGCCTTTGGTCGCCCTCCCACCTCTGCCTTCCCTCGCCCCGACACCACCACACCCCCATGCTCAGGCCCTAACACCTGACTGTTCAGCGCCTCGGGACGTCTTCCCGACATGAAAAGCGCTCTATAAATTTGAAAGAGAATCAAAAGGTTGTTGGTTCATATCCCACGTCAGGACTCAAACTCATCTCGTCTATGCTGACACTATTGCAGTGCTACAGTTGTGTTGCATTGTTGGAGGGTCTTCTTTCAGATGAGATTCTAAGCCAAGGTCCCATCTCCTGGCCAACAAACCCTCAAATAAAATTGGTCACACTTCAATGGTTGTTTGTAGGACATTGCTGCATGTAACTTGGCTGCCTCGTTCACCCACAAATATTTACTTACATTAAATCCTGTGAAGCACTTTGAGACATCCTCCCGACATGAAAGAAGCTATACCAAAAGCAAAGATTTAATAGTATCCGCCATTCTACTATTCCCAGAAATATCATCAGGATCAAAATTTATTGGCTAATACTCTTAACTGCACTTGGAATACAGTGCACATTTCTGGTCACCACAAAATATAAAAGGATATCGCAGGAATTGAGAGGATACAGAGGAGGGCAACCAAATTGATTTGAGAGGATGGAGGACTGGACTACAAGGAGTGATTAGATAAACTGGGCTTTAGGATTCTGAAGGGAATAGACAATGTCCAACAATTTGCATTTATATAAGCACACTTCACACGGGGGAAGTGTCTCATGTGAATGGGGACTGAGCTGTTTTATCTTGTACTAAACGATAGAACCAGAGGACGCAGCCTACGATTGAAGTGGGGGGTAAATTCACCAAATCTGCGGAAACATTGCTTCAGTGAGCGAGTAGTAAACTTACGGAACAGGCTCCCCAAGGAGATGGTGGAAGCAGAAAATGTTGTTTGTTTCAAGAACAAATTAAGAGATTTCTGCTAGAAAATATTTCAGGATACAGTACTGTATAGTTTGGGACACAACCTGTCAAGCAACTGCCAGGATGGTGGAAGCTTTGTTTGCCTAACAAATTTTTATGGTGGTGAGACGGTCTCTGCATATCAAAATATCCATCTGACCAAAAATAAGCACTCTGGCAAATGGTATCTGCTGGAGTAACCACCACAGAATAAATCTGTCTGTCAAACACAATAATCAACACCTTCTGCTGCACACACTGGTAAATCAGAAACTTGAGGTAGTTGAAAGCCAATGTTGAACATCCCAATGCCTTGTTCACTGGACTCGAGCTTTTCCCCGTTGAATCAAGAGCCCATGTCCTTTCTCCTCACACCCAACCTCACTCAGCTCCAATGGCTCTCCTCTATGTCCCACAGCCAAATTGCCCCACGATTGGTGGACAATCAAAGCTTCATCTCACCCCTTTTAAAGGCTTGCTCAAGACCTATCTCTTCACAAATGCTTTCAGTCATGTACAGAATTATTCATTCTAAACTGATATGGTCAAATCTAAAATCATTTATGGAACAGAATAATCAAAGACAAGTTCAGCTGTAATCCACTTTATTGCACAGCTTCAGCAACCTTTACAAAAACCAAAGGATGGATACCTTTTGAATAAAGAATTCAACAATTTATTTCAACAATGAAAAATTTTGAATACCTGTGATAACTAGAGGATGACTAAGTGTAGGGACTAAAGTCACATTACATCCAAAATTAAAAAATCTTGAATTCCATAAGGAGAACTTTTCTATTTGCTTCGACCTTTATTCTCACATTACATTTATGTAATGTCATTTATTTTGAAAAAAATAAGCTCATTGCATCCATGAGTCAAATGACTAAAACTAAGACACTTTATGCAATCTTGTTGCTGGAAGTCACCCCTTAACAAGGATTTGTTCACCTTGCAATTGTTGTAAACAGAAAACCAGCAGTTCTGAACATACAGGGGAGTCCATCTGAAGTCTAATAATGCCAAAGATTTGACCCCACATGGGAGTTTAAAAAAAGCAGAATTCAATCTTAGAAAATCACAAGCTCCTTTTATATGAAGATAACACAAAGAGTAATTATTTAACAATATCAAAATATTCATAAAAAACAGCAAGCTTTTTTTAGTGACTAGCTCAACAAAGAATCAACTTCATCTGTGTCAGCCAAACAGTCCTGCAAATTAAATTCATTCCTTTCATCAAAAGATGTAAACTCTTTGGGCTTCATTGGAGTAGTTGAGGAAGAGACCTATATATTAAAAAAAGAAATGTTCTATAAGTACATATCTGGAGAACTCAGGATATACACATGAAATCACAAATCTGTCAATTACAATATGGAAAGTTCCGGCATGTTGCACTGTGGCTTCCTGTGGTAAAAAAAGGCCAATTCCAGGTGGTCACCAATATCACTTCCTGCACATGCACAGAAAGCGCAATGCACATCAATCACTTCCTTCACAAAGTGACATTAATGGCACTTCCTTAAGAGTGCAGTACACAGTAAGTAACAGCTTCCTATGCATAAAATGACAGCAGCAACCAGACAACTTGGATGTCCGTCATTTTTAAGGGGAAATCAAAAGTAAGCTGCTCTGATGCAACAAGTGATAAATTAAGACCTATGTCCAGTAGAATCTCATTAGTTAACTAACTGGAATTTCCACTGCGTTATAGTGTTGAAAAATGAAGATTCCAAAAAGTAGCCATATGAGCAAGTTCACCATATTTAGTGGCGTGCTCTTGGCGAGTTTCCACTTTACCGCTAATTATATCCAGTGATACAAAATTGAAATTAGTAATATATTTCCTTGCTTATTGTGAGACTACTGTGTGTAAATTGGCTACTTTATTCACCTACAAGTTCAGAGTCACTACACTTTACACTGAATCCTGTGAAATGCTCAAGGGATCCTCCTAGGAAGGAACTACAGTGAACTCTAGGCAACTTATCATTCCAAGGGAAAAGGGCCCAGTGATGAATTATCCAATGTGATGATGAATTGGCCATATTTCGTCACCTTATGCTACCAGGCGCCATTCTTCTACTCGGGCAGCATGCCTCTGCTGAGGGCCCACTACAGTCACATGACCAGGCAGGTGGCCTCTGTGATACAAAACACTGTCTTATAGGACAAGTTGTCCAATCAATTTTGCATTTTAAGCAGTTACAAGAATATCTACAACGTGACAAGTTGCATGTTAAGTGGAGTGACGAGTAAAGTTACGTCCTTTATTAAAATTTTGCATGGGCAGCAGCCTGGATATTGACGGCATGACTAGCTAAACCATAGTGACAAGTTAAGCCAGGGTCGAGTTAGTTAGTTTACTGTACATCAAGGATCATTTATCTTTGGACAATATTTTCTTTCATTAAATAAGAGTATTCATCTCACTTCCCCAAAGGTACCAAAAATAACAAATGAGATAAAAACGACTCACTCAGTGCACTTGGGGTTAATTATAAGAAGCATACCTGAGAGGATGGCATGTTGTTTGGAGTGCATCCTCTCCCACCAAGGGAACTTATTCCACTTTCACCGGAGCCATTTACAGACTCAGTTTCCATTACATCATCGAGATCAAGCGTTGTGCTAGAGTACAGATAAATCAAGATCAAAGTTTTACTTAAAACAGCATTTGTTGTAAAACAGAAGGATATAAAACACTACTGAAACACAAGTAGAGAGATGAGCTTCATAGGTCAAATAATCTTTTCTCATCTTCCTAATTTTTTTGGTCACCTGGGTGTCTTGACACATATGGAAATCCATCACCGTGCTTAAGAGTATCCAAACCAAGCTGAGATTTCCATGCATCCCACCTACACACAGAAATCCGAGACAAATAGTTGGAACGGTATGCACTCTCTCTCAGGACGGACGTATCCAGTTCCCTTAATTACAGTAAATATTAGGCACAGGTTGGAAACATCCAAGGCTTTGGGACCCATTGTTGTTCTCACCCAAAATGCTTACTACAGTCAATCTCACATAAATATAACAGCTGGGACAATACATGTAATACGACTCATGCAAGATAAGAGTTATGTCAAATTTGCATAGAATATAAACTCTTGAGAACATGACTTGGGTAGATGTACAATTTAGGCAACTACACAATTTAAACAAATCAGACTTATGCAAGTTTTACTGTACATTAAACTCCTGATAACGCATCACTCCAAAGGAAAAGGGCTCAGTGATGAGTTACCAAGAATGGCAAATCAGGCAGATGTACAAACGCATAAATAAATGCTGGTGGGATATTGACAACACAATGATTTTGTGTGTGTTGGTTTAATTGATTGTTTTTAATCTGTTTAAGATATAGAAGGCTGTTGCTAAATGACTTCAATGACCAGAAAAAGGATTGCTCTTCTGAAAGGTATTTGCTTATATGCCTGTTGCTTGGCAGCGACAAGTTAAGCTACGAAGTGCATACTGTAGATCACAGCTGCGGGTCCCCCACCCTCTCTACACCAGCAATGGTATATATGCATTCAAATAGATACTATGAACCCAACACCTGGAACTCCCCACCTCTGCCTCTACCTAACTCGTAGCTAGAAAAAGAAACGTCTAAGAGAAGATCAAGCCATCGCCAACCTAGGAACCTTTCTTAATACCTACACACTGCTTTATTGTTAACTATCGATACACCAGGAGTCCCCAAACTTTCTGGGCTCAGGGCCCCTACAATCATTACGTATCCTGACGAAGACCCCCACTAAGGCTGTGCCGCTGCATGGGTTTCCTGCAGGGGCAGTGAGACATGGTCGTTGAGAGGGCAAGAAAAACAACTTGCATGTTCATGCACCTTACGCAGAGTAGCACCCCAGAGCGTTTGACAATGGCAGAGCACAACGCAGAGCCAGGGAGTGGTGATTGTAGAGTTGGCATAGAGGAAGGTCTTCGGGTGTGATCTGAATATGGGGAAGAATGGGCAAGACTGAGGGATGCTGAGTTTCGGGGCGTAGTGGCTGAAAAAGGCACTAGTCCTCATGGCCCCAGTACAGACTGGTGCTGTTTCCCAGGGATTCGATGATATTGTACAGCCTGAGAACATGCATGGAGCACAACTTCTCACTGCACAAACTGCACTGCTAGTTACTGTGAGCCTGGCTTTGGGCTGAGAAATGACTGTAAGGATCTCCTGGTAGATCAGAGCTCAACAAGGCAGCATGAGAAACAACAGGATGAGAGAGGCAGAGCAGGTCTGAAGCAGCGCAGAAGGTCGCAACAAGTCCTATGCGGACCCCCCAAAACCATCTCATGGATCCCAGTTAGGGAACCAATGGCATACAGAACCATGCAGTATAACAATGGCAGAAACAACAAGTGCAGCATTTTAAATAATAATCCTTGCATTTGATATAGCGCTTTTCACGTCGGGAGGACGCCCCAAAGTGCTTCACAGAACACACTGTAAAGTGAATTGACTGTATATTTGTGGGCGAACGCGGCAGCCAATTGCGCACAGCAATGTCCCACAAACAGTCGTAGATTGAAAATGACCAATTTATTATTGTTTTTGGTTTTGGAGGGATTATTATTAGGCTCTGTGTGGAGTAAGGAAACTTGCCCAAGGTTTCGCCCTCTGCCTGGAATTGAACTCAGGTCTCTCACTTGCAAAGCGAGTGCTCTAACCACTGAGCTACAGGACTCCACAATTAAATATAATCTAATAGATTAATAGATCAATTAATAGATTAATAGATCTATTATTACAGATTAATAGATTAAATATAATCTAAGTGATACTAGCAGCTCAATGGAACAACTCAATCCACATTCTCAAATTCCATCCTTATGCAGACATCAATACCACAAACTACAACCTGCAAGCTAGATCATTTTAGTATCAGCAAATACTTAAACAATACACATACATTGCCTGTAAATCACTTCCTTCTGCTGGTGGATCCCAGTCATGCAGTGAAATCCTCCACAACCTAATCTGCTGGTCCCAGGACCTACGACTGAACTTCTTAAACTTGTTGGGAGTTCTTGGATGAACACCTGGCTTCCGAAGGTGCCTGTAAGAAAATTGCACAAATACGTCTAACTCATTTTCATTTGTAGTATCAGTGACGAGTTGAAGCTGGAAATCCATGATTAAAGAATAACATTTAATTAATTAACAAGACGGTAATCTAATTCACTTAATCCATTAGTAACAGATGACACTTGGACTGTTGTTTAACAGCCAGATTTGATGATGGTTTAACAGGAAGCAAATGCCAACAAACTAATTTATATGGCTCAATTTTGCAACTTTACCGTATATGGAATATAGTTCCTGACCAAGAACACCTTTGTTGAAACAGATTTCACCCATGTTCACTAAGTTTGATTAGTCACTTCATGAAGGTGAAGGAACAGGTTAACAAGAACTTCTCAGATGTGTATATAGTCTACCAAGAATCCCTTTCCTTCATGTTATCATATTATATAAGTGAATAGAGACCCAACAATTAACAATCGGTACTGAACTAACCAAACAGCCATAGGTTAAGATCCCCTCCAATGACAAAAGCTTAGGCACACATTGTGGATTCAAACCAGAACTCAGCAAGAACTTATTATAATTGCAGCCTTACTTTGGAACTTCTCGTGTGAATCGATCATATGCAATTGTATTCTTCCCATAGTTGATCTGCTTCTGTCTTCTCATTAGCACTACTTCATCAGTTTCAAGTTCTGAAGATACCAATGATTCCCTGGAGCAACTGGAACTGAAAGAAGTCAATTATTACACATTCAGTAGTTACTGCTCCCCAAACTCTTGTAATTGGCTGGGATTTGGGAAATAGGAAAAAACTCCAAAAGGAATAACCAGTTTGTTTATTAATTACGCAATATGCTCTCACTACAGTTACCAATAAAAGCTATTCGAAACGCCACTTCACTGGGGTATAATTGAAATAAAATTGAGTTAGAGTTAAACTAGAAAATATGTTTTCACATAAGATATGAAAACACTGCCCCAGAGCATGGGAAAGAAGAGTATTAAGAGATGGAGACAAGTATTAGAACAGGCTCAACGGGCCTATTCAGCCCCTTGGGACATCCTCCCGTTGTGAAAGGCGCTATACAAATGTAATCTTGTGGTTGTTGTATTCCACAATACCATCTCATTGCACTGCTTGAATTTGCAGCAGCTTTATTTATTCTACTTGGAGAAGTGGAGGGCAACTAAAAACCCATCTAACAGAGCAGATTCTTAAAGAGTTCTGTTTTAGACAAAGAAAAAATCATCCCTAATGAAGCATTTATATCCAGGAACTCATTCTCTAGGATCCTATCACTGCAAAGGCTGCACAGCCACCCTGTTTAAACTAGTACAAGAGTCTTTCCACAACTGGTTCTTTTATGTTAGGGGTAAGTCACAGGGCTCTTTGCATTTCTAGGGAGAAAAATGGGACAGACATGCAATAATAATAATCCTTACATTTGATATAGTGTCTTATCACGTCTTCAAGAGATCTTAAAGCACTTCACAGAATATACTGTAAAGTGAATTGACTGTATATTTTGTAGGCAAAACATACCCCAAGAGCCAAAAAACATTGTTTTAAATACTATCATGACGTTGGTCTGGCAACAAGCAACCTACAGCCCATTAAACGGTCTCCACTCAATGCCTTACAATGATTTAAGATTACTCTGTCTAACAGAGTGCTATTTTAGGACTAACAATCACAACACTGGAGCAACAGGCACATAAGTAAATACCTTTCAGAAGAGCAATCCTTTTCCTGTTCATTGAAGTCATTTAGCAACAGCCTTCTTCTATATCTTAAACAGATTAAAAACAGTCCATTAATCCAACACATAGAAAATTATACTAATGCAGTCATGATAAAATCAGGGGCCAAGACAGATTTAAAAAAGCATATAGCACCCCAATACAGAATCTTAACCACCCCCTCAATTATTCTTTTGATATACCTGAGTTCACTTTATTTAAAAATATACTTTCTTCCAAAAGTAGTAAGTATACAAACCTTTTTAAATCCTGATAAATGGTCTGTCGCGTTTCCTCTTCTTCAACTGCAGATCCCCAGTCACCAGAGGAACATCTGGAGACTGGACCCTCACTCTCTGGTGTTGTGAAACTGGAAAAAATAAACCTAACATTAAAACCACCAAATTTTTTAAAAAAGTGCAGTGATTTTGCATATACTAACATTAAAGTTATGCAGATTAGTGAGGTCCCGCACCTATAAACATTTCTCCTGCAACAAGGAGGGGTGATAGTGGGCTTGTGTGGAGTATAAACAGTCAAAGTAGTTGGGTAAACCAGAATCAAAAGGCAAACAGTGAGGGAGGGGGGAGATAAGTTAACAAGGTGGGATCAACGGTTGAATTGGCAACAGCAGTTTGGTGCCAATCATCCCACAACAAAAAGGGGAAGAAACCAAGCATACTATTCAGCAACACTTCTCAAATCAGATAGTCTGTTGTTTAGACTTGTCAGCAAAGCACAGCCCCTTGTGGAATAAAAACAGAACATTTATATAGCGCCTTTCACATTGGGAGGTCATCCCAAGGCACTGGACAGTCAGAGTTTCAGGGTGGGGTGATTGAAAGCACTGTCAGAGGGTCTTGAAGGAAGCAGGGGAGGGGGAAAGGCGGAGGGTCTGCGGGATGGAGTTTCAGAGGGTGGGGGCAGAGTGGCAGAACGCCTGCCTGCCTATAGTGGAGCGAGTAAGGCGGGGACATGAAGCAGGCCGGAGCCCGCTGAGCTGAGGGAGCAAGCAGGATGGTAGAGGGTTAGGATGTCACAGAGGTAGGGGGGAAGCAAGACCATGGAGGGCTTTGCAGATGAGGACCAGGATCTTGAACTGTATCCTCTGTGTGATGGGAAGCCAGTGGAGTCGGGTGAGGATGGGGTTGAGAGGGAATACGCAGTAGGTCAGGCAGCATCTATGGAGATGAAAACGAGTTAACGTTTCAGTTTGATAACCTTTCATCAGTACTAAGGGATATTGGAAGGGAGCAGATTATAAGGATGAGCGGAGAAGAGGGCAGGGAAAGAAATACAAAAGAAAAATTCAGGTGGGGGACAGAAGATGATAAAATCAGAGGTGTTGCAGATGCAAGACAAAAGGCTCCCACTATTACCTTCTTTTGTCTTGCACCATCAACGCCTCTGATCTCATCATCTTCTGCCCCCACCTAAACTTTACCTTTGTCTTTCTTTCCCTGCCACTTCTCCTTATAATCTGCTCCCTTCCAACATCTCCCAATTCTGACAAAAGGTCTGAAACGTTAACTCGGTTTCCTCTCTCCGTAGAGGCCTGACCTGCTGCGTGTTCCCAGCGACTTCTGTTTTTTTTTAAGATAAAAGCTAAGAATCTGCAGTATTTTGCCTTTTATTCACAGTTCCTTGTGGAGCAGGTCACCGGGCAGCTGTGTCAATATACTCAGGTCACCATTTGTATGAGGGGGGATTTAAAACAATTGAAGTTACAGATAGCGAAACAAATAATCCCACACCCCAAACCCAGCGACTGCTCCGAGTTTTTGAGTATTGTGGTTGTAATGAGATGCGCCATATTCCAGAAACGCGCTGCAACCGGACAGCCGTCTGCGGGGGAAGGGGTGTTCGGTGCTCCCTCTTCTCTCCCCCTCCCTCGGATCAGAAGGCCCTCCTCACCTGGTGACCCTGATATCCGCCTGGGAAGAGTCCGCGGACCAGTCCTTGCTCTCGTCGAAGACGGTGGCGTCCGAGTCGTCCTGTCGCCTGAGTTTGCCGTCGGCCCCGCGCTTCCTGCCGCAGGACCAGCGACATGGCGGCGGCCTCCTCCTGCTGCCGGGATGCAGGCAAAAAGATCTCAATGCGGGAGCTGCACAGTCCGTCCTCCCCCCGGGGGGAGTGGGGGGGGGAGAGATAAAACCGTATCGGCCCAGCAATAAGCGCTTCCTTCACCCGACGTTAACAGTTACTTTGCGCGCCAAGCGAACCGAAAGAGCCGTCCCCAGCTCCCGCCCTCCTCAACACCAACTGTGGACGTTCACTCCGGTTTTACTGAAGCAAAGGCGCATCGCAGATACCACAGGAACAGCGAGAACTGCAACACACAAAGTCTATTTGAGGTTCCATCCACCCAAATAAACGCACATTGAATACACACACTACGCGCGATCCGAAGACGAAGCGTCAACGCACAGTAAAACCTTTTTACACGTAATTAATGCAAAAGCGCTGCCACAGATAGACGGCCGCAAAATTCGTGCAAACTCGCCCTTCCTTTCCGACAACACGGGATGGAAGATTTAATTCCCAGTTTGAAATAAAATACTCCCCAGATTGCTCTCCTTTTACATATATATATATATATATATATAAAACACAAACTAACACAAACCAAGCTCGGGCCCAAAGCCAACCGACATGTTAAATACAAACGAGAGATGGGTTGCACACAAAGGGCGCCCAACGTCCCACTTCACACCAGTGCTGTGTGTGTGTGTGTGTGTGCGGCGGTATTAACCGCGTGTATCCCGAGTCTGCCGCGCCCTTACCGGGAGAGAATTGTAAACGATGGAGGAGGGAGAGGGGAGGGTTGTGCTCGGCCCGGTGTGTGCGCGGGGGGGAGGGGGGGGGAGGCTGTGTGGCGGTGGTCGCCAGTTTCCCGCCAGCTCCGCCGCGCGCCCTTTTCAAACCCCGCGCTCCGAATAACCGCCGCCGCGCGAGCCCCGGCTCCAACAGCAGCGCACAGCGCCCGCCCTCCCGCCCGCCCGCGGGGCGCTCCACACCGGCGGAGCCCGACGCCGAGAGGGGGAGAGGTTTAAATAAATGACCCCCTCCAAAAACACACACACACACACAACAGCCTCCGCGGGGTCGGGGACTCTTACCTGAAGCGCTCGTTTCTCGGACAGGCCTGGTGTTCGGGCTGCGACGCCGACATCCTCCGAAGTCGCCGTCACTCGAAAGAGTCTCGAGCCGCTCCTGGTTTTTTCCCCCTTCACTCACTCACACACCCACCGCCGTCCAGAAAATAGCAACTCGATATTATCGCGGTCGCCCGGTGAAGCGACACTGAGTTCAGTGACGGTGAAACTCGTTGAAAGAAAAAGTCTCCGAAAGGGGAGACAAATGCGGGGGAGAAAGAGAGAGACACCGACCGCTCGGCTCTGACCTTAAAGCCTCTCTCTCTCTCTCTCGCGCGCGCGCGCGCTCTCTCTTTCACAGCCCCGCCAAGCAGCCGGACCGTACCACCCGTCCAGGGGTCCAGCACACACACACACACACACAGAGGGGAAGGGGGGGAACTTGTGAGATTACACACAGTAAAGTCACACTACAATCCAACTATGTGTTATTCTCAGCTACAAAAGCTATAATACGATGCGCGTTATGATGTTGGGCACTTGTTAACAGGTTTGTTGTCACTCTGCCCCCCCCCGCGCGGTATTATTACTGAACTCGCCCCCCTCCCCCCACCACCGCCTTCGCCTCCTTTTATTTTTTTCACACCGCTCCTCTCTGATTGGTTCACAGCCGCCACTCGGCTCCTGAATGGGGCCGGGGGTCGCCGCCCGCCTTGTTTTCTTCCCGTCAATCAATCAAACAAAAAAAAAGTAAATCGATCTTTTGTGTTGCGGTCCGGGCGGACGCTTCGCTTTCATCGCGCGGTCGGGCAGTTTATTTCCCTCCCCCCCAACCCAAGCAAACTTTCGTCGTGCAACTTACATTTGTCCTTTACCGTTGTTAAGCGTTCTGGGACGCCGCCCCTATGTAAATAAACATATAAATAAATTAATATAAAAATATATTGCCCTATATAAATAAATGCAAGTTGTTGTTGTTGTTCTAAGTGTCTTAGGTGACTTTGCAGCAAAATAAAATAGTTGTGCGATCTTTTCCCAGAGAAAGCATTGAATTATGCCCCTACTCTCTTTACCTTTGGTATTGCACCTTTTACAACAAAAAATCGTGTTTATGTATAGCACCTTTTACATTGGGAGGACGTCTCAAAATGTTTCACAGGATATAAGAATACACTGTAAAGTGCAGTTGTGTGTTTTGTAGTCCTTATTATGATAATAATAAATAATCCTTGCATTTGATCTGGCACCGTATCGCAACATTGAGACGACTCAAAGAATTTACTGTCTATTTTGTGGGTGAAACGCAGCAGCCCACTACACACAGCAGTGTCCCACAAACAGTCGTGCATTGAGGGATCAATTTTTTTTATTTATGGGAATTATACCAGTGATGAGTGGTTTGACCTGTGAACAGAGACTACAGGAAGTGGCCTTATTTTCACTAGAACAGAGGTGGTTGATTACCTGATAGAGGTCTTTAAAAGGATGAGGGGTTTTAATAGAGTCAAATCGGAAGAAATTATTTCCACCTGCTGGGAACTAAGTGAATAGAGGAGTCAATTTAATTCCTCCAAAGAGCGATAAGGCAGAAGTTTGTTTGGAGTGTTTTACGGAGCGATGAGCCAAAAATCAGCTACACATTGAATGACCAATTAATCTGGAAGATTGTTGGCCAGGACACCAGAAGAAACCCCCTTCTAAATAGTGTTGTGGGATCTTTAACTTCCAACTGGACAGATAGACGAGACCTCGGTTTAATGTCTCATGTGAAAGACAGCACTTTAAAATGCAACACTCCTCACAATGCCCATCAGCCCGGACTTTGAGCTGAGGTCCCAACTTGAAGCTTAAACCCACAATCTTTTGAACTGGATGTGAGAGTGCTGCTAACTAAACCAGCCTGCCATAGTTTCTGAATCTGAGTGACAGAAAGAAAACATTGCAGGTGTTTAACATTAATTTCTTTATTGTTAAAGTCAAGATAAAGAACCAATACATGTCGTCAGTACAGTGGTACATTGGAATAAGATGATCTCAGCAGATAATAAAAGTAACACTCCTTACATTCAATTTCACGTTACAAGAATGTCCCAGAGCTCACCAGAGTATTTTACTGTGAAGTATAGTAACTATATATCTCGCAGGCAAATCAGATGTCAATTTGTGCACAGCAAAGCCCCAGAAACAGCCGTGAAGTGAAAGACCAATTTTATCTGGGGCATTGTTGGCCAGGACACTGGGCCAAACTTCCTCCTCTTTCGAATAGTGCCACGGGATCTTTAACATCCACCTTAAAAGGCAGCTAGGATCTTGTGTCATCCAAAGCACAGAAGCACGATACTGCCTTATGACACAAAAGTTGAAACTGTAGAGAAAACTGAAGATTTGATACCATTTGCATTTTACACACAAACTCAATCATGCACCAGCTCAGTCGAATCACTTCTGTTTTGTTCACCAAAAGGATTAAAATCACACATCACATTTTCACCAAGCAACGCATTGAAAGGATAAATCGTAAAAGTATCAGATCTGCACAAGTAAGGAATGGGCTCCGGAGCTCCCCTTAAGCTGAAATGAACCCGATGGAAAGAATGAAACTGGTCAATAAAATCCATCCTTGTATGTATGAGTATATTTCGTTCATGAAAGATGGTGTGGGAATTAGCTTTTAGGTTCCCCCGCTGGTTAAGCCCTGCTCGTAATAGCGACTGCTCAATGTGTGCATTGTGCCAATCAATTATTGTAATTCTTAAACATTGGTGCCATGGAATAGTGAACTCCCTCCAATTGGGCCACCTGATTCAACAACAACTTGCATTAATATAGCGCCCCTCACACAGGGTAGAGTCCCAGAGCGCAAGTGATTCATTCACTTAGACATTCAAAGGCCTGAAATACTTCATTGTCTTAAAAAGTAAAACTGTCCAGAATGCTGGACAATTCTTAAATGCTGTCTCAAGTTACTAACATTTTTTGCTGTCCGTTCAGTTTTTTCTTTGTGATTAGACATCTTTTAACAACACAGGAAGTGACAGTTCCTAACGTTGCTGTTGCATTGTATGCTACATTGCTGCTGGGGCCTCCTTGGGTGGTGGAGCAACAACACAGAGCAAAAACTTACTTGACTGAGGCTATGAGAGACACAAAGCAGGTTAACCTGAAGTTAGCTTTGATTGTCCCTGGCTCAGAGAATAAAAGATTCAAACCAAGGGACAAATTATTTGAACCATTTTTCTTACCTCAGCTCCTTGCGATGGTTGTTATGAGACAAAACAACATGATTTACATGCTTAGAAACAAAAAAAAATTTTCAACTCCAATGGTGTTGAGATCTAGGTTTGGTTCCTTGTGTGAGGGAGCAATCATATTCCTCCCCTACACCCACCCTGTCAATGGGAGTGGAAGATCTCATTGAACCTTCACATTATTGAACACTGATGTGAGGTGCCCAGCTTAATAACGTAATGCAAATAATCAAGGAGATGACAGGTCATTGTACCACTGACAGAAGGTACGTGGACATACCTCCTCTATGATAGCTCAGCCATAATGGGAAGAAACTGAGATAAAAATCCAACATAATTCCCTTTAAAATAACTTATATCAATTTGTGGGAATTCAGCGACAATGATCATTAAATTAAAAAAGTAACCTTACATTTGATATACTGTAGCATTTTTCGCATTAGGGGCATGTCCCAAAGTGATTTGCAAGATTTTTTGTAAAACTTACTGACTGAGTATTTTGTGGGGGAGCATGGCAGCCAATTTGTGCACAGCAATGTCCCGCAAATAGCCATAAAGTGAATGACCAATTTTATCTGGAAGATTATTAGTCATTGTAAGGAAGCTGTGAACCCAGACACCTGACCAGCGTGATAAAAAAAATGATGCATTTCAACAAGACCATAAAGATGGTCTCGACTAGAGGATAAATCACTGTGGTGAGCCATATAGGGAATATAAGTTCGAATCACGGTCTGTGCTGAACAAGCTGATTTCTCTCAGATGGGGCAGAAGCCCAGATGCTACAATTGGCCTCAGTGCCCCTGGGTTAGGGAGTGGGATAATCAGGCTGGGTTCTTGCTCCCAATCACAATCCACAGACTCACTGCCTGAACTGCACTGCACAAATGGGATTGCCAGGGAAGGACAAGATCAGGCTCATCTGTGTTGCTCCTAATCCCTCTCCACCTCCCTGGTGAAATAGCCTGTCACTGTCGATGCTCAGATACAAATAATGGCTGCTCAGTTAGGAGGGCTCCCTGACCATGAAACAAGGAGTCCAAAGCCCTGTGGAGAGGACAAAGTGGGGAGGGGAACAACTGTAATGTGCATTTGATAGATTGAAGAAAACCCACATCAACATAGTGAGATAACAGTAGAAAGTGAGGTTGTAAGATGCCACAGACATGGATCTTTATAGCAATGACAGTAAAAGAGACAGTAATAAATGGATATATAGGGTGTGTAAGTTTAACACCCAGTATTTACACATAGAAATCAGCACTTTCATCAGTGTGCATCATTCCACTTATATCACATATGCAATGCTGTTTAATCAGACTAGAATGTATATACTACAGAATACTGAAGCCTAGCTTTATACAGTTACTCAAAGGGTCCCAATGTGAAACCTTTACGTATTCTGATATACGTCCCCGTCTTTTGTCCTGTTTGCTGACGACTGCCGTTTCTCCCATTCTATGTCTGCCGTGTTTCTGTAGACATGATCTGGAAAATAAAAGGTAAGAAACATTTGGAAAATTCTGCACGATCTTAGATTTTCTGGCATTAGTCTCAAGGCCATAAGAATTTTCAGATTTCTATCTCTGAGCAAATTGATCTGTAAGCATTTATCCCATGGAAAGTGATGATAATAATATTAATCCTTGCATTTGATATTACACCTTATGTCGTTGAAACGTCTCAAAGCGTTTCACAGGATATACTGTAAAGTGAATTGACTCTATATTTTGTGGGTGAAAGGTAGCAGCCAATTGTGCACAGCAGTATAAACAGCAGAATAAATAGTTCTGATGAAGGGTCGTGGACCCGAAATGTTGACTCACTTTCCTTTCTCCATTGATGCTGCCTGACCTGCTGAGTTTTCCCAGCTCTCTCTGTTTTTGTTCCCATAAACAGTCGTGGATTGAGTGATCAAATTTCTTGTTTTTTAGGGGATTATTACCCCCGAAAGTGATGATGAAAAGCCCATTAATATTACAATAATAAAGCTATTTCATATTTCACCGCATTTACGTTTCACTTACTTTTGTTACCTAAACTTTATTTTCTAACTTTAAAACTTATCGCTTCCCTTTTTTTGATTCCATGC